TTATCCATCCATGTGTCGAATAGGGAAGCAAAAACACTTCCTCTTTATTTCATGTTTTGATATCCGAATATATCATGTCACCATCCCAACACATTTTCAGCATGTTGCTAGATAATTCCAAGTAGATCACACAAGTTTACAAAAGTTAGTCATATATCAATCACACACTACAAAACTTCAATGTCAATCCATCACTTGCCTTCACAAACTCTATTGTTGTCCTCAGAAGCCTATATCAAGACGCCAAACACACACTACAAACACCTAGCTTGCTACAGTCATCGCCTACCCATCACTCACGCCCACAAACAATACAATTTTCCTTACCCACACCTCACTCATAGCTCGTCTCCTCTCTTCCCTCATAGCTCATCTCTTCTCACTCACCCGTCACTTCCGCATTATTATCAACTAGCCCGAAGGAGATTCCAGCAGGGCAGGCCCGACAAGGCAAAGAGAAGGGGGCGTTGTCCTTGTTTCTTTTTCTGTAAGTTTACTGAAACTGCCAAGATGTCGAAGTATCCATTAGCCAGGAAAATCTCATAAGGATAGAACCCCGTTAAAAAAAATTCACGTTTGTCCAAAAAGAGACCACCCGTTGTGACATTTTTTTTTTCACATCGACCACCAACATTATGTATAGTGTTGCGGTGCGTAGTGCCTGACACGAGGCAAAGAACCCACAATGACCACAACGTCGTCATAGAAGTTGTCGATAGACCATCAATTGCATACGCAGCAACGGGTAAGGTCGCATAGATTGTCAAGGCAGATCTCAGTAACAGCTGCTATTGTCAACCCGAGTGTTGTTAGGAAGACTGAGGAGTTTGTCAACCAAGCCGTTGAGGGACTCGACAGTTCGTAGAGAAAGTTTTGGGATGACAGTGGTGGTTGGTATTATGATCCCAAACTTTTTATTCGACCTAAGAAGTTGTACCAACCTGCGCAGTTGGATTAAATTTAAGTCTGCTACCCCTAGGTCAACACTCTTTCAAGGTGGAAACCCTTAACAAGCTACCTTGCAATACCTGCTTACCTGAGAGGCTGAAACTGAATAGACCATTGTGGTTTTGTGTGATCCTAAAAGGATAATTGGAATGTGTTCTGAGACCATTTTTCAATGACATAGAACAATTGAAGAATCGGTTATGCAACCCTGTACCAATTCATACTTCAGACAAACTACAGTGGCTAACAGCAACTAAGGGGCCCTTGTTTTAGTCTCATCCCATAGGATGATCAAGGGGTTTGATTTTCCTGCTTATCGATGTAACCATCCAACATAAAAAAGAATACTACCCATGTCGGTGGCTTAGCTTCAATCAAACAGAGCAATAATTTCATCTTATCTGAGCAAAGCCCCAGAGCAAAATGATCATCTCAGCGCAAGTTGTGATATTAACCTCACACGTCATGAAGCCAAGTCTGAACCACGCACCTATCTCATAAAGGGATTAATTAATGAACTTAAATATTCATATACGCAGTCCTTGTTTATGATACACACATATAACAAGTTGATATAAGAATAGGACTTTAAGGCAAGGGGGAATCATTACATTTTCACAAAAAGAAATGTACAGATAAACAACATTAACATTTTATTAATTTAACATACACTCATACAGCAAGGATAATATGAAATGGGCATGAAGAATGCACACGATCATGTCTCATCGAGATATCGGGCTTGAGGGCATAATCAATCTCTTTTTGCAATACATAATAATGCTGATGGTAAACCTTCGATAACAACCTTTTAACCTACAATTGCAATCACATTCAAAATACATCATAATAAATTTGTAGAGTCATCCCTTTGTTCGTTTTCTTTTTGGCTAACAAACCTTCAAACCTTGCACATTCGGATACCCCTTTCACTTTAGTCGTCCAATCCCCCATTTAAGTCATTCAAAGACTTAGTTAGACCAAACACCGACCTTTTAGACAATGACTCGAAAAATAGAAATGCCTTTTGTTTCAAGGGTTTGTTTCAACGTGTGGGTGTTATAGGTAAGTAAAATCAAGTTGGCAAACCGACCTATTATCTTCATAATGGCAGTTATGCATTTTTTGAGAGGCTCTTTGTGAACCTTTCCTCTTAAAATATATCCTTATAGAGGTGATATGTAACACAAGGATGAACCGCATGATATTCTTTGCAATTTTACCATCTTGTTGATCACAGTGTCATGCGCACCTCGGATGATGGGCTCAAACTATGCCTATCAATGCCACATATCCTTCTATCGGATACGCATGAGTCCTCCTAACTTCGAAAAAAATGACAATTCGGTGAAACCATTTCGTCATACAACTCACCTCAGGTTGTCTGGGTTTCATCTGGGGACTCACCGCCTTTGGCTTTGTAGCCCCCTTGATGGGATTCCTTTTTTAAAGAATCACATTTTCGTGTCTAAGCGAGCGCCAACTTTTGCATCGATTCCATTGAGCGGTCCAAGATTCTTGAAAAGTGGTTATTCCATTGTCAGGAATTACATTACGACGTCGATTATTCAGACCCAGTCGGTGGGCCCTCACTAGAGCCCAACCAGTCAAGGAGGACAACTTGTCTTTCTTTCTCTCCGGATATCTTTCTAGTTGACACTTGCTGCAATACAAGGATTGGAGGAGGATCAAGAGTCTTATGTCCTTTTAGCGCTCATGTGACCTACCCTCATTGGAGCGCAACCGGCTCCAGAGTTTGCAAACGGCTAGCCGTAGCCAGACCCAATTGTCCTCATCCAGACTTAACAGTTGTAGGCAGGTTTGGCTAGCCCATGTCCCACTTGACTAGGTATGGGCAGGGGATGGGAGGATGACCCTCGGTAAGATTGGGGACAGTTATGGTGGGAAAAAACGGGCGAGTTGTGCGTGCCCTTCCGTAAAAAGAAAAAACATACAGGCACACACAACTGTGGGCGGGCGGGTCCTGACTTGGCGCAGGTGTATGCGGGTTCAGACTTAGTGCAGGTCACCCACGAAAAAGATATACGTATATACATATAGAGGTTTACACCTGTGTTGCATCCTGTATGCATGCGAGGTGCGTACGCGTACGTATTCTCGTGTATGCGTACGTGACAAAAACCTGCGTACGCATACGTGTTTTTTTTTTCTTTCTTTCAAAAATATATATCTCTTGTGTCGGGCCCTTCTCTCAGGGGGGGGAACACATGTATTCAGTCTTTCAGAGTTTTCATATTTTTACACACATACATACACAGTATTATACAGAAGTGACAGAAACATACACACACACAGTCTGTCTGTCAAACATCGTGACTATCACATACATACTGCTTAACAGCGTGAGTGATAGACAGACAGTCAGATATGACAGACAAACAGATAAACGAACAAAAAAAGAAACAGGCAGACGGGCAGATCGAGAGACAGCTGCCTAAAAAACTGACAAACAGACCAACAAACAGTTGCCTACACAGGGTGACGGAGTGACGTGGTACATGGACAGGGTGACAGAGTGACAGAAAGACAGGTACACATGACAGGCCCTTGCTGACAGATAGACAGACACAGAGAGACCATAAAGTGTGACAGACAAACAAACACTGTTAAACAGACAGACAAATTGACCACGACACATCTTGACTGACTGAGAGACTGACAAACAGCTCTACAGCCAGCCAGACGACACAACCAGATAAGCATGACACAGTTCGTGGCTGTGTGTGACCGTGTGAGTGACAAACAGACAGGTACATGTAACAGCCCCTTGCAGACAGATAGACAGGCACACATAGACCATAGAGTTGCCATGCCTGTCGTACAGCGTACACAACCCCACAACAGAAACAAAAAGATTGACGGGCAGACACACGGTCACACACAACCAGAACAGCGTGACACAACTCTTGGTTGTGTGTAACCGTGTGTGTGGTTGTGTTTGACACGACTCTGCTGCGCCCCAACAAGATCGTGTACGGTCTTGTTGTGGCGCAACGCAGTCGTGTCAAACACAGCCATACACAAGGTCAGATACAGCCAAGACTTGTGTCACGCTATTCTGGTTGTGTGTGACTGTGTGTCTGCCCATCAGTCTTTTTTTTTCTGTTGTGGGGTTGTGTACGTCGTACGACAAGCATGACAACTCTCTAATTGACAATGAGGGAGACACAGTGCAAATGAGTGAGGCAAACGTTGTTACTGCTCGAATTCAAGTGTCTCTCTCTCTCTCTCTCTCTCTCTCTCTCTCTCTCTCTCTCTCTCTCTCTGCCCATCCCCTTCACCAACTGTCATCCTTCTTCGTTTTGTTTTGTGCAGCGGTTCATTCTCATCCGACTTCTCCTCCTCTTCCTCCTCCTCTTCCCTCTGCACTGTCTTTTTATCGGTAGAGCGAGGTCGCCCCCTGCGTCTCACGGATGAGGAAGGAGGACACCCTCTGCCTCTCGTGGATATCGAAGGTGGGTGTCCTCTCCCTCTTGTAGATGGACCCGCTCCTCGACTGCCTCTCCCATCATGGGGAGATCGATAAGTGAGCGGATCCCATGAGCCACCAGGAGCAGCCCCCAGAATGCCAAGCAACTGTGACGGTCTCTTCGGACCATAGAATGCATGCAGCTGCTCCGCCTGCTGCTCTCGTTGTTCCTCTTTGTGGTCGTCCACCTGCTGCTCCTTTTGCTGGTCGTGGTGCTCCCACTGATGCTGATCCTTGGGCTGCGGCGCCACCAACTGGTCGTCCTCCTACTGCTCCTCCTGTTGCTCCTCGTCCCCCCCCTGCTGCTGATCCTCGGGCAGCTCCTCCTCCTGCTGCTGCTCCTCCTGCTACTCCTCGTCCAGCTGCTCATCCACCTGCTCGTCCACCTGCTGCTTCTCCTTCTCTCCCTCATCATCGTGTTCGTCATCCTGCTGCTCTTCATGGCTGCCCTTTCGAGACCGGTCTCGAGCATGCCGTGCTGCAACCCGTTACCTGAATCTTGTGCCTCCCGCATATGGAATGATGTCCTCCCTCCTCGTCCACAACTTGTCGGAGTCGGACCGCTCGTCCTGCCACTCCTCACAAGGAAATTCATCATCGTCCTCCTCCTACTACTACTCCTCCGCCTCCTCCTCCTCCTCCTCCTCCTCCTCCTCCTCCTCGTTCCTTAAAACACGAGTAGTGGCGATGATGGTGGTGCTGCCTCTCTCAGATCCGGCAGCCTCACACCCGACAACGGCATTGTCGTCCACGTCAACCTCACCAGCCGCCTCGCCGTCCAGATCCTCGTCCTCCCAATCACACTGCAGTCCCAACCACCCTCCTTTCACTGTCGGACCGTCCTCCCCCATGCTCTTCAACCTGACGGTCCAGTGGGAGTAGACCAGTTTCTCTGTGCACTTGTGCGCTTATGCTTCAACGGGTTCCTTGTCTTCGTCTGCACAAGGCCCCACGTGCTCCAGTTCCTCTCTACAGGAGAGGACTTCGTCCATATTGAGAGCACTTTGATCGCCAACTTCTTCATCTTTGGATGACCACCTCCGTGTGCCTCGCACCAGAGCACTTAACTGTCCTTCTCTGTGCTTCTCAACGCTCCGGCTGACCCGAAAACCCCTCTGGCGAACTGGAAGTCGTACAACTGGTATGTGCAGTCGTTGAACTTATGTGTCCCTTTCTTGGCAACAAGGCAGTTCACCACATTGTCGAACTGCGTGATGAGTTCCTCGTTGCTGAAGACGCTGATATCCCTCAGTCGAGGGTCCAGCAGTCGTGCCACAGCATGTATAGGGCTCAACAACATATCCGTCCTCTTCGCGACATCGGTCAGGATCTTCTCTCTCTCAATATTTGTGAGCGCGACACCGCGTACGCAGTTCTTCAGTGCCACAAGTGCATCATACACACGGGACAGGCAGTGGATGTCCTTGTCAACCATTCTAAGCACTTTGTACGGCTCCGCCAACACTGCATGCAACTTCCTTATCTCAGCCCAGAAGGCTTTGTCAGTGACGAGGTTCTCCACCTCTGCAGCATCCCTCCTCAAGTACGGTTGGCTCGCAATGTCTGTCCACGAGTCCACCAGCACCACGCAGCGAACAACTTTTTCGCACGTGATAAGTCGATCCAGCATCACATAGTGGGTGTTGAATCTCGTCTGCGCACGCCGAAGGAGAACTTTGACTTTCTTGCCCTTTTGCTTTGTGAGCTCCGTGCGCAATGCAGATCGTGGCCGTCTGTGGTTCCTAAAGAACTTGACTACCTTATTCGCTTTCTTGATTGCGTCTGTTGCCCACGGCTGATCGCCCACATCCTGCATGAAAAAGTCCATGCAATGTGCAGTGCATGGGATCCAGTAGATCTGCTGGAACTTTGGATCCTCCCTCAACATGGTTGCCGCACTCTTGTTGCCGGAGCTTGAGAAGGAGTCCGTGCAAATTGCCATGATCTTCTCAACACCGATCTTCCGAAAAAACCTCTTTCATCCCTCCATAACAGCAGCAACATCCTTTTCCTGATTGTTCGAGGATGTCGTTGACCAACGACCGCCCACAGATGTCCGTTGTGTCGTCGGTGATGAAGGTGCAACCTGTTATCTCCGAGTCATCTCGAATTGTTTGCTCCCCCTCAGTCGAGCTGCACTGCAAGCCGTCTAGAAGACCGCACCTGAGAGGGTTGTAGGCAAGGAGCAAAGGATGTTTGGCAGCTGGTTGCGGTCCATAGCAAGTGTTCACGAACTTCTTGAAACTCCTACTCCTCGCCACGTTGAAGGGGATTGTATCTTCGACGAAAAACTCGATGAAACTCTCGTCGATGTCCATTTGTCACGGGTTCTTGGCCCACCTAGAAATTGAAGCCTGCTTCGCCTGTCCATGTGTACCGACGACCGCATGTGCTGCCTAAACACGGCCATGGTCTTCCCCTCGCCCGCATACGCTTCACAAGGCAGCAGCAGCCCCCCCAACGTCCACCACCCCGCTGCAAGTTCGTGGAAGTGACTCTCCACCAGCCCCGACGTGTCTCTCTCCCTCCGCAATGTCATCCACTGCAACATCTCCCTCCGCTCTTCTCTGCTCCTCCTCCGCCGCCTGCTGGACCAACTCCAACAAGTCTGGAGGCAATTTCACCCCAACATCACACATCCTCCTCCAGATTGTAAGGGTCTCATGGGGCCAACATGAAGTCTTCCTCTTCCAAGTGAAGTGGTCGACGGCACGGGGTTGCC